TGGGCTGCAGCAGGTCCCAGCACTGTGCCCAGGCTGGGGACATGCACCAGGGCTGGCATGGGACCTGCTGACAGACCGGGGCTGGCATTGGACATGCACCCATCAATGGACGACACCCTCTACCCCACAGCTGGCCCCACGCACAGCTGGCGCAAGGACGCGGCAAGCAGCCAGCCCCAGCCATGCCCAAAAAGCATTAGGTCCCCACCCCCAGCACCCCTCTAACCCCAGCATCGCCCCCCACACATCATAGTCCCTGGGGTCACCCCAGGTCGGGGCAGAGCCCTGGCTGCCCCCCGCCCATGGTCCCAGTGGAGGATCCTCACGTGCTGCCCTCGGCACCCTGCGGTCCGACAGCCACTGTGAGCTCATCCCACACATGAGCTCAGCGCTGGCCACAGGCCAGGATGGCCACGGGAACCAGCCCTCCCCGCTGCAGGCCTGGGGGGATCCAGCCAGGACCCTCCCTGGTCCATGCACCCACATGGCTGGGGGGCTGCCGGGAGCCAGCGTGGCCCCCCAGCACGCAGCACCCTGCAAGACCCTCACCGTGGGGTCCCATACCGTCTGGGCGCACTGCAAGTCCTGCTGGATGCAGGTGTCACTGCTGAGTGCTGAGGAGGAGCACTGCTAGGAGGATGGCACCAGGTCATGCTACGGGACCACTGCCACCCCACACCTCCCTCGGCTGCTTCTGGTTTGCGGAGGAAGCGCCCACAAAGGCACCTGCCCAACCCCCTGCCCCCCTATATCACGTACATCCCTGCAAAGGCACCCAGGGAGCAGAGCGGGGCCAGGAGCAGCAGGAACTGGAACAGGATCACAACCCGAAGGAGAAAAAGAACCCAGAGGTGACCAGAGCAGGGAGCTCCAGTGTAGGGACAGAAACCCGTGACAAGGAGCAGGGGGAGCTGGGGCACCACCAGCACCACTCGCACAGGGCAGGACCAGCTCAGGGGGGGACACCCCATGAGTAGAGCCAGGGCCAGTGCTGGGCTTCCCCTTTAGCAAGGAGGGGAGAAGAGACCCAGCATCTTCCTCCAAAGGGGATCACGACCCGGCTCACACAGCCGCGGGGCGGCCACCCCTCCCCTTCACCCCACCAGAACACCTGAGGAGTAAAGAGCTTTATTTAAAAATATGTTTATGTACATGAGTGTCAAGAGGACGGTCACATTCATCAAGTAGGGGCCGGGTGTAGGGGGGCAGGGCCCCATGTTGAGCACTGGGGAGCAGCAGGGTGGAACAAGGGGCTGGAGGCAGCTGCAGGGGGCTCAGACTCCATCCTGCTCCCGGCTGAGCAGGAGCCATGTGGGGAGCCCGGGGACGCTGCCTGCCCATGGCTCCAGGCCAGCTGCAGCCCCTTCCCTCCACATGCTGCCACCAAGGTCCCCTGCCCAGGACCCTCATACCGTAAGTCACGCGGGACCCCGTCCAGCAGCCTGCAGAGAGGGACCATGTACCCACCGTATCCTCCGGTCACCACAGTGCCACAGCTGGCCCAAGCCAGTCTTGGAAGGGGGGGCAGCAGAGGCACTGGGCTAGGCAGGCTCCTGCGGGCTGGCCAGAGCAGAGGAAGACGATGGGGCTGCTGCAGAGGCAGGTGAGCCGGGCCCCAGGCAGGTGCTCGATGCAGGAAGACGTGGCAGTGCCCGTGGGGCTCATGGCGAGGAGCCAACCCAACTATTGCTGCGGTGGAGCTGGGGTGCCCCGGGGCTCACAGGATTCTGATGAGGCGGCCCAGCGTCTCTGCTACCTTCACACGGACAGCGGGGACGGGGTCCTTCAGGAGCAGGTTCAGAGCTGGAAGGAGCAGAGCACAGAAATGCCAGGGGCCATGGGGCCATGGCCACGTACCCCTGGCCCCAGCCGCATCCTGGCTTTGCTCCATCACACAAGGAAGAAGCTCCACTCCAATCCCAGGGATGCTAGGCCCCTCTGCCAGCCCCCTCACATGCCCCAGGGGAGAACAAGCACCCTAAGTCCTCTTCAGCCCCTGAGGAGCCCCCAACTTTGCAGCCCCGGAGACAGATGCCACGGCAGCAGGATGGTGCTGCAGAGGCTGCTGGCCCCGCACCCTGGGATGGTGGGTCTGGGAGGGCTCCCTGGGGCCCTGGCTTTGCTCCATCACACAAGGAAGAAGCTCCACTCCAATCCCAGGGATGCTAGGCCCCTCTGCCAGCCCCCTCACATGCCCCAGGGGAGAACAAGCACCCTAAGTCCTCTTCTGCCCCTGAGGAGCCCTCAACTTTGCAGCCCAGGAGACAGATGCCACGGCAGCAGGATGGTGCTGCAGAGGCTGCTGGCCCCGCACCCTGGGATGGTGGGTCTGGGAGGGCTCCCTGGGGCGCGGGGGTCTTGCTGGTTGGGGTCCTGCACTGCCCTGGGGAGGGGAAGGGCCCCAGCACCGGGGTCCGGGGCCAGGGAGGGGAGAGGAGCCGGGAGCTGAGCCCCCGAGGGCCTGCGGGGCCGTGCAGACGCTCGCCGGGCCAAGCCTCCCCTATCAGCACGATTTCCTAATGCCTGGAACAGCTCCCAGTAGTAAGAAAACAATCCAGGTAGTTTTTCCTAGCAGTAAAAGTATAATAATATTTTTCCAGTAGCTTGTTTACCCGGCGCAGGAGAGCCCTCGCCTCCCTCCCGAGCCCCCCTGCTCCTGCGGCGAGCCAGGCTCCCCTGATGTATGTGCCCGCTTGCTTCCCACTCGTGGCATCCTCGTGCCTTGCCGGGCCCAGCCGCGGGGGTGCCCCGGGGCGGGCTGTAATGCCGAAGCCCCCCCAGACCCCGTGCGGCTGAGCCACTCAACACGGGAAGCTCGCGCAACCCAATCCAGGCCTGCTCGCTCCAGCGATTACTCACACACAGACAGATTATCTTTCACTTGTTTCAAACAGACAGGCCTCTTTCTTCTGGAAGGGCTCAGGGAGCCAACGGAAAGATAGTTTTTCCTTTTTTAGTGTTTTTTAAGCTCCCTTGGAACAATCCAAAAGTTTCCATGCATTACTATATACTATGAGGTCACTAGTGACAGGGAAAAAATCCCTGAAATCCAGGAAAATTACTTAACTCTGCTCCAAAATGCCACCAGCTTCAAGTCGACTTTTTATTAGCCCTTCATAACGAGCCTTAACTCTGCCTTTTAACGGTTAACACGTTACAAACAAACGCTGTGAGTCCCCTCCTGCTTACGCTAAGCCACTGCAAATGCCCCGTGAGCCCCCAGTGGACGCCCAGGGCCGGAGCTGCCGGCCAAGAACCAGAGCTTGCGGTGCAGCCCGGTGGGGTCATGCTTGGATGCGGGGCTCAGAGTTCTCTCGGCACCCACCAGCAGAGCCCCGCTCCCGGGTGAGCTGCAACCTCGGTCCCGGGATGCCCGCAGGGTGCAAACCAAATGCCATCTCAGCATCCCCACGCCGACTGCTCGGCCCCTCGCAGCACCTTGGCTTTCCAGCCCAGGCCCCCCCGTGTCTGCTACCTGCAGGTGCTGGGCTCATCCAGGCCACAGCTCTGGCTTCATGGGCTGACCATGAGGTCGGGGACATTCCCCATGTGCCCCAGCTCACCCAGGGACGCAGCCAGGTGCTGCCTGGGGGCAGTGCTGGATCTCACCGCACCAGCGCATCCAGGAGGGAGCGGGATCCCATTGCAGCCTTGTCCCTCTGCGATGGCCTAAAGCCCCTGAGCTGCCGGTCCCTGGGAGCATGCGGGAGGCTGCCCTAGGTGCTGCCCATGCTCCAGCCCCGAGAGCTGAGCAGGAGCGTCAGGTACAGCAGCGCCAGAGGCTGGGGAGCCCCATCTTGCGGGGCTGAGCTCCGATTCCAGCAGGCAGAGGCAAGTCCCCACTCCCCAGCAGCGAAAGCCATGGGTGGCAGCACCTACTCACCCGAAATGAGTTGGTCCAGGTCCACTTGCTGACAGTGTTCTTCGTCCACGTGCAGCACGAGGAAGCCTGAGGAAGAATTTCAGAGTCAGGGCTTGGTCTGGATCCCACCGGGGAGCCCCACATCCAAGGAGACAGATAACAGTGGCATGCCGCCGGGCACCAGGTCACTCGTTCCTGCATCGGTGCGTTGTGCGGAGTCTCAATGGAAACCCCACAACAACCGCTCAGGTGAGGACCACCGTCGGTGTTGTACACACAACTCCCCGTCTAACATGCACCCTAAGGAGTCGCCTGCCAGCAGCTCCGGTAACTTG